AAGTGCTTATAATATTCAACAAAAAAAATGAATGAGACAGCCAAGACGGTGGATGAAATTGCAAAGAAATGTATGGTATCAACGGAAGAAATACAGAAAGTCAAGAAGAAGGTCAGTAAAGTGGAGAAACACCAAGAGAAGCAAGACAAGAAAATATTGATGTTGCAAATGGAAAAATCAAACTTGACGCTCCGCTTTCAAGGGCTGAAAGAATGTGAGAAGGAAGACCTCAGAGACATTTTGGCGAATGCTTTGGCACCACTGACTGGCAGTGAAGCGGAAAAAATAAAAGAAGAGATGGACTTGGCTTATAGAGCCTACTCCAACTATACAAAGAAAAATAATCTGCCAGCAGAAGTGGTCGTGAAATTTACCAAACAACGTCTCAGAGATCAAATCTTAAAAGCAACGTCATCATCGCCTCTGAAAATTGGAGACTAGACTATTCGGATTTTAAAGGATGTTCCATTTGAAATTAGAATGAAAAGGAAGGAATATAAAGGGTTGACCATGTTCTTGAGAAATCATCAAATTAATTACAAATGGTTGGCGCCAGGACTTGTCTTTAAGTTTAAAGACAGAAGAGAGAAGATTGATTCCATCTTCAAGGCTCATGACTTTTTGAAGAAGCACGCCAGCGCAGAGGATGAGGCAGAACTCACTAAATGGATGGCAGGAACAAGCGAGGACAGCAGCAGTTCAGAGGGAGAGGTGAAAGACGAGGAAGACAAAGGAGCGGCTGGAGGTCCAAAGTATTTCCTGAGAGAGAAAAAAGGGAAGCACCCCAATGCTTGAAGATTGGTTTGGAAAGCACACTAAAAGATAATACTAACCCCAAAGATAATATTAACCCCAAAGGGACACTACTAATACATTAATTGACCGATTTTGAAAGGTACAGAAGAAACGAAATCATCCAACTGATGAAGAGAACTTTGACTTTGACTTTACTAATAAAAGATTAACATACTAATTTCTTACATGATTCAACACTTTCCTTTGTCCCGCTATATACCCTCCCTATTTTTCTGTAATGTAAAAGCGAAAAAATACTCTCCTTTTTAGGAGAGGGAATAAAAAAAAATGAGATGGCAAGACTGAACATCAATATCTTAGGAATCAGTGAAAAAAAGAGGAAGACCCAGCATGAGATGGACTGACTCAGGAAAGGAAACCACGGCCCTCAGTTTGCAAGACCTGAGCCAGACTGTTAGCAGTAGAATGCTTTGGAGGTCATTAATTCATAGAGTCACTATAAATCAGAAGCAATTTGATGGCACTTAACATACATACCGTGATGGACTGTATTTCCCAAAAGGATGGCACTAGAGGCAAGTGGCTTATTCTCGGGGAAGAATGTATGGGTGAAGGTACTCTCCGGCCCCTGCCACACGGGAGAAAAAAGAACGGCCGAAGTGCGGCTTTTTAAAGTCGCACCAAAAGAGACACGCAGCGGCGGGATCAGATAGATCCCCTGAGCCGCCGCGCAGTTGCTCCCCTGCACTATCAGATGCCGGGGGGAAGCCACTGCAGGGAGAGCGAGGCAGCCGAACTGCGCATGTGTGCAGTTCGGCTGGGAGCCTCGATTGCTCCTGCAGACGGCACGCCGGCGATCTCACGGCCGCACTTGCTGCACTGTTCCAAGTTGGTGCTACCTTTTACTTGGGGGTTTTTTGCAGCGGGTTTTAGGCCAGAAGGGATGGATCGGGGACGGGTGCACACCGATTCCCAGATGCCCGTTTGCTGCGCCCCCGACCCGTCCCTCTTCCGGCCCAAAACCTCCTGTGTGACCCGGGCCTCTGTTGTTTTTTTCTTGTTTTGCTACAGAAACTTTGCCTCTAGGTTCTGTCTCCTACCTTGGTAATCTTTACAGAAGGCAACGTATTGGCTTCAGCCCGTGCTTGTTCCACCTTATTTTCTGGTACAAACAGCTCAAGAACATCCTTGATAGCGGTAGGAGGAACAATGTTCTGGAACAGAAAAAGCAGACATAAGAGTCAAGTGGAAAAGTTAACTGTGAAGAAGATACCTTAAAAACAAAAGCACTTTAACTTTGTGAGGCAAAAACAGAATACCTGTTCCTGCAAGAGCTCCACAATCTGCTGAATGCAGTCTGATACTGAAGATATATTGGTTTTCAGCACAAGTTCGGGCATTTCAGGTTTCTCATACTCTGAATCAATTCCAGTGAATCCTGCAGATTGTTAGCAATTTGTATAGTTAAGATGATAATATAGAAATCGGATGGTAAAAAAAATGACAAGTAAACATGTTCTTATTTTAGGGCTTCAGAATGTTGTTTATAATTATTATATTGGCTGCTGGAGATCACTGATCAATTTTCTATGTCTAGTATCCATGGAGGAACATTTATTTCCTGACACAGCATAACATGCTACATTTACAGTGCCATCCTAAGCAGAGTCATGCCCTTCTAAGTCCAATGAAGTCAGTAGGCTGAGAACTCCATTGTTTGCTACCTATGCTTAAAGCAGAACCGTGCATCACAGCCAAGAGAAGGATCATAGCTGCACATTTGGCCATGACATAGTTATGGGGGGGGCGCTACACCTCTCAGCAACACAACAGGCTACTCCTACTCAAAGAGGACAATCCTAAGCAAGTCTACTCAGAAGCCTACTAAGGTCTATCCAGTGGGGCTTACTCCCAGGAAAGTGTTCTTAGGATTGCACTGAAAGTGTTGAAAGGTTTGACTCAAGCCAGTCTGTTCTCTGGGGAGACTTCAGGCTGAGAACCTCTTGCTGGGAGGGGCAGTCCCTGTGGGGTTAGGTGATGCAGCTCTCACAGGGGGAGGGGGTCATCACACCTTTGATTTCTCCAGCTCGTGCTTTTTTGTAAAGGCCTTTCACATCTCTGCTTTCACAGATGTTTAGAGGAGCATCCACAAAGACCTCAAAGAAAGGGAGCCCAGCTGTCTCATGAATCTTCCGTGCATTCTCACGGTCCTATGTAAAGGAAAGGAAAAGCAGCAAATAATGTAGAGGTAATAACTTCACAATTCTCTGTTCTGTTTGTTACTCTGCTTCATTTTCCTTGTATCTCCATTGACAACCCCCTTCTCAGCACATCCTAACCTCACATGAACGCACATGATGCCATCTTACGCTGAATCAGACTATTGGTCCATTGAGGTGAGTGGTGTATACTCAGACTGACAGCGGCTTTCATATACCTACTGTCCTTTTAACTGAAAATTCCGGGGTTTAAACTGAGACAATCTGTCTTTATTTATTTAAAATCAGTATATCCTGCTTTATTTCCTTAGACTTAAGACAGCTAACAATGCAACAAGAAGCTGCAAGATACAAAAACATAGGGCTCCATTTAACAAATAAAAATAACACAGAGATTAAAATAAGTGCAGATTAAAAATGCAGCCAAATATGACAGAACAGTTCACACTTCACACACCACACAAGATGCCCTCCCAAATATGTCTTGCATGCCTTCCTAAATACAGCCTGTGAAAGTGCCCTCTGTGTAGCAATGTATGTGGAACTGAATGAGTTAGGAAAGTAGACAAGGAATAACTCATGGGAAGATAGAGTGTGAAGGAACAACTACAGGAAGTGACTCAGTAGAGAAGCAGATAGAATGAGAGTGTGTGTTCAGGGGATATGATTTGTTTAATAATGACTTTTCTTTATTACTCCTGCCTGACTCTCAATTAATTACCCCTCTTGAAAACACTCTGCACCCATTCTGGTAGGCCATTCCAGAGGACTCGGTCTACCACAGAGAGAGCCTGTGACACAGCCGTTGCCACACAATCCTAAAACAGGGCACCACAAGCAGAAGGCTATCTGAGGAATGTAATTGGTACCGTAACAGATTCAGGTAGGTAGCCTTGTTGGTCTGAAGCAGCAGAACAAAGTTTGAGTCCAGTGGCACCTTAAAGACCAACAAAGTTTTATTCAAGGTATAAACTTTCGTGTGCACGCACACTTCTTCAGATAACTGGGCGCATGCATACGAAAGCTTATACCTTGAATAAAACTTTGTTGGTCTTAAAGGTGCCACTGGGTTCAAACTTTGTTCTGGCACTGTAACAGTATGCTCTATCAATGAGCCATGGCCTTTCCTCCTCATCTAACTATCCTTCTGTTACCACCTTACTATTTTAGTAAAGGTTTCCCTTGCTCGAAAGCCAGTCGAATCTGACTCTAGGGGGTGGTGCTCATCTCCGTTTCCAAGCTGAAGAGCCAGGGCTGTCCGAAGATGTTTCTGTGATCATGTGGCCAGCATGACTAAACGCCAAGGCTCACAGAACGCTGCTACCTTCCCACTGAAGTGGTACCTATTTATCTACTTGCAATTTCTTGCTCTTGAATGGCTAGGTTGGCAGGAGCTGGGGCTAGAGACGGGAGCTTACTCCATCATGTGGCACTCGGGTCTTGAACTGCTGAGCTACTGACCTTCTGCTCTGCAGCTCAGCGTCTTAACCTCTGAGCCACTGCGGCCCCTGCCCTTACTATTTTAGTTACTATTATTTCATATTTAGCTCTTCTTCTCTCAGAGCAACTTGGTTCCCAAGTGGTCTCTCAAGCCCAAACTAGACATTATGTCTGGCACAAATTAGGTTAGGGTTTGCTTGACAGCCAAACATGACCTCAGAGAATTGAAGTTCCCAAGTGCCCTGGAGCCCAATTCAGCTCATGATTATGGTGCAGGGGAGGAGGGGCTTCAGCCTCCCTCCTTGTGCTGACCTCCTGAGCCAAAACAGCCTTGGGGAGAGGCCTATTTGCCCCACTGCAGTGCTCTACATACACTGACTGCATGTAAAAAGCAAGTGGCATAAAAAAGTTGGCCAACTCAAAGATTACTGGTCACCATTAGTCACCTTTGTCACCCAGCAAATACAAGGACAGAAGAGATAGCCCCTTTTTCATTCATGAACAGATGCCCCCCAATTGTGACAGCATCATGTTGAGGTTAGGGGGTAGGCCTAGGATCTGGAAGACCCAGTTTGGAATCCCCACTCTGCCACTGAAACTCACTGGATGACCTTGGGCCATTCAGTCTAACCTACCTCACAGGAGTACAATAAGGATAAGATGGAGGAGAATGACATATGTCGCTGTGGATCCCCAATGGGATCCCCTCCTTCATTTTAACACATCATACTAAAGATGCATTACACTGAAAGCGACTGCATTTTATTTCCTGAAGTGTTGCTGTTTCATAAAGTCCTGCAGAGTTTGTTTCCTTAAAATGAGCCTCCCTCATTAAAAAAAAATTAGAAAAATTAGACTTCTAAAAAGCATGGGAAGACACAGTATCATACAAGAATTTTCAGAACAGGTGTACCTTTGTGAAAGGAGAAATAAAACTGGTGATGCAAACCAGGCCGGCATCTGCAAACAGTCTGGCAACTTCGGCAATTCGGCGGATGTTCTCTTCTCGATCATCAGCTGAGAAACCGAGATTTTTGTTCAGGCCATGACGGATGTTATCCCCATCAAGGGAGTAGCAAGGAATGCCATGAGAAAGCAGGTACTCCTCCAGTGCAAACCCAATGGTTGTTTTACCAGCACCAGAAAGACCTATTAATAACATGCAGCATATAAAACAAATGCAATTTTCCATATAGGCATCACATGAACACATGAAGCTGCCTGGTCAAGATTAGTATTGTCTACTCTAACTGGCAGCAGTTTTCTAGGGTCTAGGTTCAAGGTCAAAGTCAGAGATCCTTCTTGTTACTTAGTACTTGATCCTTTAACCAGAGATGCCAGGGATTGCACCTGGGACCCTCTGCATGCAAAGCAGATGCTCTACCAAGCCACAGCCCCTCTCCAAACTGTGTGGTTCTAATACCAAAGAAGCTCTTGAAGTTGTCTATCCATTTGCTGAGGGCTTAATTTAGGGTTGCCAGGTCCTGCCTGCAATCCAGCAGGGGGCTCCTGGGTCCTGCCTGGGATCTTCTGCCATGCACACTTTGTATGCATGGTGCAATGACATCACCTGGAAGTGACATCATCACGTCGCCAATGTCAGGGGTGATGCTCTAGTTTTTGGGCAAAACTCTATGGTATTTTACCTTCAAAACCATAGAATTGGCCCAAAAACTAGAGCATCACCCCGATGTCGGTGAGGCAATGATGTCACTTCTGGGTCACTTCCGTCACCAGGTGACGTCCCTGTTTGGGGGTGGGACTTTCCCCACCAGCCAGCTGGCCAGTGGTGGATCAAAGCCCCCAAAACTGGGGGAACCCCTGCTTGGACCGGAGGTCTGGCAACCCTGCACTTTATTTACAATACTTTTATTACACATTTCCCCCAAAAAACTCACCCTTGATATCTAACAAAACAAACCTCATGAAAAGTCAGTTTCAGGTCACCTTTAAATTGAAAATGATAGTGATCCACTACAAATAGTTTTCAGACTTTTTAAAGGAGATTTTGTTAAAACTGGATATTTGTTAACCAGTGTGGTTTTTTTATCCTTTGTTTCAACCTTTTGGTTACTTATTCTGTTGTTTTGGGTTTGGGTTTGTTTTTGGTCTGAGATAATTTAGAAGATGAACTTTTATACCCTGCTTTTCTCTACCTTAAAGAGTCTCAAAGTGACTTACAATAACCTTCCCTTCCTCTCCCCACAACAGTCACCTTGTGAAGCAGATGTGGCTGAGAGTTCTGAGAGAACTGTGACTGGCCCAAGGTCACCCAGCAGGCTTCATGTGGAGGAGTGGGGAATCAAACTCAGTTCTCCAGATTAGAGTCTGCCGCTCTTAACCACTACACCATGTTGGCTCTCCATTTACAGTATTAGGATTATTTAAAAGGCATTTTAGAACTTTGATCACTTGGTTATGCTTAAGTGGACAGTGGAATTTTCTTCTCCCACTTACATGTGACTTATAATAATAAATTCCATTACACCCTCTTGAGACACTAGGTTTATTAGGGATTATTAGGAAGGATTATTAGGGGATTATTAGGAAGGGAATTGAAAACAAATCAGCCAGTTTCATAATGGCCCTGTATAAATCTATGGTGCAATATTTAGAATATTGTGTACAGTTCTGACCACTGCTCATCAAAAAAGATATTACAGCATTGGAAAAAGTGCAGAAAAGGGCAACTGAAATGATTAAGGGGATGGAACACCTTTCCTATAAAAAAGATTAATGAAGTTAGGGCTCTTTAGCTCGGAGAAACGATAATTGAAGGGTGATGATGATAGAGGTTTACAAAATTATGCATGGGTAGAGAAGGTAAAGAAGTACTTTTCTCCCTTCGCAAAATACAAGAACTCCTAGGCACTCAATGAAATTAATTAACAGTAAGCTTAGAAGAGAAAAAATAAGTACTTCTTCACCCAAAGAGTAATTAACACATGGAATTCACTGCTGCAGGAAGTGGTAGAGGCTAGAAGAATAAACAGCTTCAAGAGGGGATTGGATAAACATATGGAGCCAAGGTCCATCAGTGGCTATTAGCCACAAGGAATAGATGGAACACTATGGGCCAGTGATGCTCTTATTCTTTGTACTTGGGGGGCAACAGTAGAAGGGCTTCTGGAGTTTTGGCCCCACTAGTGGACATCCTGATGGCACCTGGTATTTTTGGCCACTGTGTGACATAGACCGATTTCACACAAGCCGTTGCTCCACCCTCGCTCTTCCTCCCCCCCCCCGACTGTATGTGTCAACTTCCCACTACTTGCTGCGCGACTGCATTTTGACATGCAGCTTCACCCAATTTCCTTCACGTTTTTTCAATTCTGAAAAAACAGGATCAAAAAGACGCGGGGGAAATCAGGTGAAGCTGTGGGTCAAAATGTGGCCGCGCAGCAAGTAGTGGGAAATTGACACATACAGTCGGGGGGAAGGAAGAACGAGGGAGGAGCAGCGGCTTGTGGGAAATCGGTCACAAAGTGTTGGCCTGGATGGACCATTGGCCTGATCCAACATGTCTTCTCTTATGTTTTTGCGTTCTTATGTTGTGTATCTGTGATTTTCAGTTTTTTCAGTGCAAATATAATGGCAATAAATAACTCGGTCCAATGTCCGTTTACTAAATTAATCAGGAATGCAATACCTGTTAGCCACACCGTACAGCCTCTGAATCCACCTCTTGTTCCCACAACTTGTCCTCTCTTGCTCCTGCTAACATGATGGGCTTGGTATACCACATTAGTAGATCTCTGAAGATTCTAAAGGTACAAACAAAAACAGGGGAAAACTATTTATTGTTGTGACTGACAATACCCAAAAATAAATTCAATCAGGACATTTGGAAATTCCCCTTCTCCAAATCGCTGTCTCCAGAATTCTGTAAATCCTCAGGGACTTGGAGCAGGCCAATTTTGCATTGCCCCCTTTAAGTGACTCTCAGCTGTTCATTACACTCTGTGCATCCTGGACAGTCTGGCTGCTTTGGGGGATTTCCCCCCTTTCTCATAATTTACAGAGTTATGTTTTTTTCTATATCGTGATGGAGTCAATTAATTCCCCTTCTGGGTTTTGCTGCAATAAAGTTGGCATTTGATTGAAGAACTATTAACTTCCCTCCCAAATTCATCACAAGTGGTCTAGATAGGGATCACAAGGCAGACATGTGGTGCCCTCTGTAGACTGAACCATGAAACCACAACTAGAAGACTTAATAATAAGGATGTCCATTCACAGACTAGGGTCCGAGTCTGTTGTTTCAAGTGACAATCTAGCCTCCCTACTCACTATTGCATCTACTTATTTAGTTATTATAACACCAGGAGTAAGGCCCATTGTGGGGAGAAATACAATGGCCTCTAGAAAGAGGCTCCAGGTGAGTGTCCCGGCTGTGGCTGGTGGGGCGGCGGAGGGAAGAGGGAAATAGAGGGAGGTGAGCCATGTTTATTTCCTTCTGCTTAGCTATAAGGCAGAGCTGTCTCAAGTCATTTTGCTGCCCCAAGTGGATAGTATGGGAGGAGAGGCCCATGGTAACAGGTATGGTTCCCTCCACTTCTGATTTATGTTGATTTGGGGCTATGCCGTGGCAGCTAAGGTAGAAAACCACCTCCTCCTATGCCATGTTTCCTGAGTTCCAAAGGACTGGAAAGCAGTTCCATAGCCAGTTACAGGTTGGGAAATATCTGTAGATTTGAGGGGTAGAGCCTGGGGAGGGCAGGGTTTGGGGTGGGGAGGGACCTCAGCAGGGTATAATGCCAAAGCAGCCATTTTCTCCAGGGGAACTGATCTTGGTCACCTGGAGCTCAGTTGTAATAGCTGGAGATCCCCAGGTGCCGCCTGGAGGTTGGCAATACTTAGGGGAGGGTCAGGTTGGCTGAAGGACTTCAGTGAGGTATACTGCCATAGAGCTCACCCTCCAAAGCAACCATTTTCTCCATGGGGAGAAAGGGAAGGCCTGGACATCTCTCTGAATTACATCTCCCCATGGAGAAAATGGTTGCTTTGGAGGGTGAGCTCTATGGCAGTATACCTCATTGAAGTTCTTCAACCAACCTGACCCTCCCCTAAGTAAACTACACCTCCCAAGGTGCAATGTAACAAAAATGGGGGAGTAAGAATGGAGGAGCTGGCGGGATGAGCCAATAGGATGCTAAGGCAGCTTCCCCAGTGGCCAATGGGACAGTAGGTGAGTTGTCACCAGCATGGCTTGGCTTTTATATATTATAGATATCACCTTTCTGCCTAACAGCCACCAAAACAACTCAAAATAAAATCTATACATATATAAATATATTTATACATTTTCACACAATATAAAATATAAACATTAAACTAAAAATTATAACAGTAGCAACATTTAAAGGTCAGCCCCAGTATGGTCACAAGAGGCTCATTTTTCTATTGATTCAACTGAATTGAGAACAACTTTTAAAGTTCCTAGGTGTGTCCCCCTCCATGACTTAAACTGGAAGCTGGTCTTATTTCACTTTTAAATTTGGCTAGCTGCTTTTAAATTTAGAATCAGTGTTATATTTTTTTTACTGATCAGAAAAATTCTCTTTATACTTTAATGGCTGATTAATTTTACAGTAAATTTTACAGGCAAGTGCATCTGGAGTTATTGGAACCTATTATGTGAAGAAGACATTTTTGGAGCAGAAAGTCTCTTGATAAAATCTGAGGAAGTTGCAAGGCAGGTAAAATCCAGAAAGCTGGGGAGTCAAGGACCCGATCACCAAAAGTTCAGACAAACAGATCAGATTAGTTGTTGTAGATTTTCCAGGCTGTACGGCCATGGTCTTGGCATTGTAGTACCTGACGTTTCGCCAGCAGCTGTGACTGGCATCCTCAGAGGTATAACACAGAAAGATGGAGTACTCTCTGTGTCACGGTGAGAAGAAAAATGGTAGGCAGGTAGTTTATATCTACTCAGGAAGGTGGGGTAGGGCTGAGTCATTATCTTGTAGGAGTTTCCCAGGCTGTGACATGCTAATGGAGGAGCTTTCCTGAGGAGTTTCTTTTGCATATGGATTTGCTTGTTTGGTGGATTGGCATATAGATTTTGCATATGGATTGGAAAAGAACCTCCTCTGGTATTTTGGGCAAGACTCCATGGTAACCACAGAATTTTGCCCAAAATACCACAGTGTCACCACGTGACGTCCCTGGCATGATGAGACCACTTCCATGTGAGGTCATCATGCTGGGGGACATTGCATGTAGCGATGTTGCCCCAACCCCCCCTCACTCCCAGGAAGCTCCCACCCCCCACCAGCGGAAGAAAAGGACAGGGCAACCCTATGCTAAGCAGAGGCTCTTCCACTGCACCACAACTCCTCCCCTTATGAGCAGAGTGCTAGCTTGATTGCTTGGAGGAGGAGGGAAACCAACTGGGCAAAGGATGTGAAATAATAATTATTTAATCTTATGCACAAAAGAGCCTGTTAATTTATTTTGTTTGCTTGTTTGCTGGATCATTAACTTAAAATGGGATAAATAACCCCTTACGGGAAAAGGATTAGTAAACAACAGATGGTCTTATTGGCTGTTCTAGCCTAAATCAAAATTATCTGATAATCAAGAGTGAAAACACATTTTTCCTTTCACAAAAAATGCTGGTCTCTCAAGAAGGCATCTCACACAAAACAAACCACAGATTGAACTATGACATTCATTATTTAGGCTGCAATTCTCGCCAATATTTATATTGGATTATTTAATATTAATAATGACAGTACTACTGTGAAACTTATAAGAGTGAGAAGCAAAGTGTGTCACATAAACTGTCTCAATAATTTTTATAACCACCCTGGAAAGTAAGTCAACATTGTTATCCCCATATTGTAAATGCAGTAACTGAGGTAAGGTTGCCAGGTACCCCCTGGCCACCGGTGGGAGATGGGGGGGGGGGTGGGGTGCCAGATCCAGTTTGGAAAACTCTTGGAGATTTGGGGGGTGGAGCCTGGGGAGGGCATGGACCTCAGTGGGATACAATGTCATAGAATCCATCCTCCAAAGCATTCCTTTTCTCTGGGGGAATTGATCTCTGAAGTCTGGAGATGACCTATAACTCCAGGGGATCACCAGGTCCCACCTGAAGGTTGGCATCCCTAAAACTGAGGCCACGATGCGGGCTAATTCAGGTAACAAAGGAAATCTTAGTTTCCTTTTGCGAGTAGGCATTTCCTGCTTCCTTCTCCCCTTTTCTCCTTATAGTTTGTCATGATTCTTGACTGTACAAACTGTACAAACTACTGTACAATATGACTGTACAAACTACTGTTCCTCTAAGCCAGATGTGAAAACCCATTTCAAACGGTGGTTTCCACTTCTGGTTTTAAAAGCAAAGTATGGTTTGCAACCATTAAAATTCACCCAGTTCAGATCATGCCACACCAAACTACAAATGCCACAAACCAAGAGGTAAGGGAGGCTCTGCAGGTCGCAAAACAATATGGTAGAGGGAGCAAAGCTCACTCATAACAACCAAACCAAGGTTTGGCCGTGATTTCTGAATCAGGCCATGGGCTTGGCAAAGGCTACATAGGAGACATTTGAAGTAGAGACTTCTCAGTTCAAACTCTTTACCACTATACTGTATCAACTCCTAAAATAGGGCTACTAACCGCCAGGTGGGGCCTGGAGATCTCCTGAAATTACAATTGATCTGTAGATGACAGAGATAATTTCCCCTGGAGAAAATGGCTGCTTTGGAGAGTGTTCTCTATGTCGTTATACCCTGATGAACTCCCTCCCAAGACTCTGCCCCTCAACTCTCCAAGAATTTCCTAACCAAGAACTGGCAACCCTATCCCAAAACCTTATCATATCCAACTCACATTAGTTTCTTATTATGCAGTTCCATAAGAAGGTTGTCTTCAAAGATATCACAAATTTTCCAGGTATATTTATGAAAACCTATACACTATCAGAATTCTTTAGATCACAGGAAATTCCAACATGAGCTCCCTTTTGACTTTCCTTAGATCATGTTTTGCTGTATCATTCTTAAAGTGACAAGACTCCCTTGACAACTGTATTTTGTGCAGAGTGAATTTGCACCCTCATTTCTTCCTCCAAAGAAATCTCTCTACAGTTTCAGTGCTTAAGTTTTGAAGTCTTGCTGTCAGGCTTGCAGATGCCATACACCAGTGCTGTGATCCCCCCCAAAAAAAAATCTGGGTAAGCCGATCAGGTGTTATATAAGTTGATCAGGGTTTATGCAAGTTTTAATTGTTTGCTAGGAGAGACTACCTTAATCCATAATTATTCAGGATCTTAAAATGGGATTGGAAGCCAAACCTCAAAGATAATAAGAAACCAACTAGTGCGTAGCCAATAATGTCATCATAAATATCTGAACTTCTGAAGAGAGGCCCTCAAAAGAATTCCAGATCTAAATTACAAACATAAGATTTTTATGCTCAGGTTACAAATAGAAAAAATATGTGCTCTGGCAGAAAGAATATGTTTCTTGAAGCCTGTTGACCCGGAGCTCTGGAACACGGTTATGTAATTTTAATTATATAAACAAAATTTAGCTTTCCAATGGGGAAAAATACATTCATGTGTATAACTTTTATGGATGTCATACATTTATCTGCCTTGAGTCTCAGCAAGAAAGGAGGGCTATAAATAAATTAAATAAATAAACATGAAATGTTTGATAGTGAACCGTGTACATTTTCATTCCGGTGAAACCTGAGGGTGAGTGAATGCAAAAGACTAGCTTACCACAGGAGAAATGAGAGAGGTTTCCTTG